TCCCGTGAGTTTGATTTAGTTCATGATGACGACTGTCTGAATGCAGAATTTGTTCGTTTGACCAGCTCCTTTGTTTCTTTTGTTTACAGGCAGAAGTACAAAAGCACATCGCAGAGGTAAGACACACACACACACACACACACACACACACACACACAGTCAAATCAAATCACGTGGAGCTTATTTATAAAGCGCATTTAAAGACAACTAAAAATTGACTAAAGTGCTGCTCAAGTAGGCAAAAACAAAATAAGCCAAAAAGGACATTTTTAGCAATTTATACGAGAAAATAAAAGTGACACGACTGTTGGCGCAGCGACAAGTTGTGTTCTCTAAGGAAGAGTGTCAGACAGTTTTTTTTTTTTGCTAATTTTTGTTTTGCATTATATAGAATAACAGTTGATTGATTTATTAATCTCCAATAAAAGGAATGTAAATACTGTCAAAAAGTTGCACTAAACTGTCCCTGCTACACACTCATTTATAAAACTCTTTATATATTCTGGTTCCCAATCTCTTTGTCTTCAAGTGCAGCAGATTTCAGACTAATTGTTAAAAGTACAGCCAATAGTTTTGGATAATAAGCAACGAGTTTCTCTTATAAATGAGCTACAGGTCACCATAAACCAGAGGAAAGAGGTTCATCAGTAGAAGAAGTCAGTTCCAGCCCGACTTGCATTTAGGCCCCAGACACTTATCCTCGGCATAAAATGTAATGATTTGCGTCATGGGAACGTACAGTTTGTTCCCAGAAGCAAGGCGAGTCCCCACCGTGTGGCTATGTGAACAGATACAAGCGTAATATATTCAGATTGTGCAGGAATACGCTGCTCTGACAGTAAAGGTCTGGAATCCACAGATCTCTGAAGGTTAAATGCACCGAGACGTTCACAGCAGATTTTTCAAGTCCTGGAAGTTATGAGGCGAATCGAATTTGTTTTTTCTGACACATCCCCATAGATACTCGATCGGACTGAGATGTGGGGAAATTGGAGACAGAGTCAACACCTTGAAATCTTTGTCATGTTCCATTCCTGAACATTGTTTGCAGTGTGGCAGGGAGCAATATCCTGCAGAAAGGGGCCAACAGGGAATACTGTGGTCTGAAACAATGTTTAATCTGGAGATACGTGTCAAAGCAACGTCCACATGAATGCAGGAGGTTTTCCAACACGGCGTCGCTCAGAGCATCACACTTCCTCTGCCGGCTCGCCTTCATCCATCTCTTCTCCTGCTGAATGACACCTGGTCGTCCACGTGATGTGAATGAACGTGTGATTCATCATCATAGGCCACCTTCTTGGATTCAGTTTGGACTCTGAAGCTTCATAGGCAGTAAGTTGTGAGCATTAGGGTTTCCAGATATTTGCGCTACAGCAGCTCTTCTGTGGGATCAGACCCGAGCCTTCGGTACTCACGACTCTGTCTCCGGTTCACCAGTTGTCCTTCCTTGGACCACCGCATACAGTTTACACCTGGAGACGTTCTGTCCTCTTTCTACCACAGTTTGGTCCTTTTTCTCAGATTCTTGCAGTGCCCATTTTTCCTGCTGCCAACACATCAACTTCAAGAACTGACTTCACTTACCGCCTAATATAACCCACCCACTGACAGGTGCCACTGTAACGAGATAATCAGTGTTATTCGTTTCACCCTTTTTTTAGGGGTTTTAATGTTATGGCTGCTCAGTGTGTGTCCCCACAACATGACTAATCCGAGCACACACAGAGGAAGCCCACAGTCTGAAGTACAGCACTGAAGAGGCTCTCACTCCTCCCACACACACCTGTCTGTCTCCTCACCTGTCTGTCTCCAGTCATACAATCTGTCTATAAATGTTGCTGCTTGACATTGCATTAGGGGTTGCGTCGCCGTTTCAAACAGTCAAACGCTGACGGTCTCTGACAGCACACCTGAGCGACATCTTGTTTTGCTGCGACGTTTGTCGCCGTCGGTGCTGCACGACTTTCCGTCTAATTGCACGACTCCATATTTACAAATGGAGAAAAAATATTCCGCGAGCCAGAGGAACGTGTAGGTGTCAACAATAGAAGAAAAGGAGACTAACCTCCCGTTCACCCACACAGCACAGAATCAAACAGTAGCGGCGTGACGGGATGCCAGTCACTTTCAGCGGAGCCTTCAAACGACATCCTGGCGCCGTCTAACGAGAACGTTTACTTAGTGCTGGATTGAAGTACAAATTTCTTTTCATGCCGTTTTCTGCTCTATGGTACCTTCACTGTGAATGTCTGGCTACTTTACAAATTCAGTACAAAATGAGCTCATAAATGTGATGCACCTACAAGCCACAATGTTAAAACCACTGACTGGTGAAGGGAACATCATTGATCATCTTGTTTTGCGAGGAAACTTTGGATCCTTGGCGTTCATGTCGATGTTGCTTTAATCCATACCTCCCACCCAAACGTCGTTGGTGTTCAAGCACACCCCACAACTCACTGTCGCTAAAACTGGGCAGGAGCTGCTCAAGAATCAAGAGCCCAAGGCACTAGCTCGGCCTCCAAACTCTCCAGATTCCAATCCAATTAAGCATCTGTGTGATGCACTGGAACAAGCCCAGTCCACGAAGGCCCCATCCTGCAACCCAGACGACCCAAGAGACCCCCCCTCTGCCAGCGTTCATTTCCAGACACCACAGGACCCCTGCATGAGCTGTTTTAGTGGCACGAAGGGGGGTTTGGACAATATAACTCTGATCTGTGTGAGCTGAAACAATTTGACAGGAAATTAATTGCCAACTTTGAATAATTCATTAAGTCACTTTTAAGGACAAATGCCAAACATTTCATGCTTCCAGGTTCACAGATATGACACTTTGCTACTTTACATTTTACTTATTTAATCAACTTCTTTTAATAATTTGCAGGTGTGGACGATTGGTTGAACAAAACAAGGCATCATGTGTTATCACTATTTTCATAACTGTTTTGCAAAATAAACAATCACTTCACTGAGAAAACAATAAGCAGGTTGAGCCATTGTTACAGTTACCGTTGCCTCAAGTCCTACACAAAGTTATTGGAATAGAATAGAAGGCTTTGTATTGTCATCATACACAAGGTACAACGAAATTAAAAATTATTGGCCCATATAATCTGGACAAAAGTGATAACAATCATAGTTTTGATCAGTGTTTTGATCAATATTGAGGCCACACAATATATTTTACTTTCACTTTTAACTTCATTGTCACATAAATTCAGTGCATGTTGTAGAAGCAACATGTTACTGAAATCACTGTGCTCTATTATGAGTTGTTTGTGTAGCCCTTTTACATTGGGTACATGATTAAAATACAACACCATTTTTTCTGTAAGTACTTGCTGTACTTGCATACCCTTACTTTAAAAAGAATTGTAGCTAGCTTCAGTGTAGGGCTTCTAGATGTAACGGTGCCGTATTGACGCTTTGGGTTAAGTGAAGGATCTGAAGACTTCCTCCAACCTGCTGGAGTTCCACTTTATGCAAATGATGCACAGGAGTCAAACTGATCATGACACGTTTGAATCTCTCCGGTCTTGAAGTTTCTTTCTTTCTCTCTCTTCCGCTGCGTCTCCCGTTCCTGACTCCAGCCGTAACCATGGCAACTGAAATGGATTTCATCCAGTTTACAGTAATTGTTTGGATGCCATGACAACGGCGGGATGCCTGGCCGCAGCCGCAGAGTCTTTATGTCCCCCCACCATTGTAAACATCCATATCATCCATCCCCACATCCTGCAGCAAGAAAGATCAAATGCATCGGTTCATTAGTGCATCCGTCC